TAGGTTATACATATAAGTGCCGAAGATTAGAGGTGTTTCATTAGTTTCAAGAGAGTAAAAAAGAAGAAGAAAAAAAGGAGGAGGAAAGATGAGGACGACAGATGTTTGATAGGAAAGAAGGAGCAAACCACACCAAAGCACCCGCCAACCACCCACAAGTAGGTCATATAAGTGTCGAAGATTAAAAGTGTTTATAAGAGTAAGAGAGTAACATACACAAAAAAGGGGTGTCGGATCAGGGTGATAGATGCTTAGCAGAAAAGAAGGAGCAAACCACACCACAGCACTCGCCAATCACCCACAGGTCACAAACAGGGTCAGAGACGACGAAGTCATAATAGACACGCTCCATATGCACCGACAGGTCTCACTTTTAACTTTTGGTTTAGCTTGAGTAGGGTGATAATTTTACAGCACCCGTAACACCAACACCATAAATACATTTTTTTTTTAAACGACAACATCGACGACGACTACATATATACATGTACATATATATATATATGTTCAATAACATTCCCTGCGTCCACTGACCAGTATTGGTGCCACATGAGTCAGGGTGTCCAACACCTCGGCTTTCTCCTTGTCGTCCAAGACGTCATTCTCTTCCTCGTACCCCGGGTCCATTTCAACCCACATGATGAGCGCCTGGCAGCCCGACCACAGGATGTAGAGAAGTAGAACGAGTAGAGGGACACCCAGGAAGTAGACGAAGATCACCTGCAGCGGGATATGGCGCGTACCGGTACGTATGGACACATATAATTTTATACAGTAGACACACTCAGAGCCAGATATAATATGGACACACATAATAATACACACACACACACACACACACACACACACACACACACACACACACACACACACACACACACCGCGCGCGCGCAAACATACACTGTCTACTTCCCGGGAAGCATACAGCGCAAGCTGCGGAATGCACGTGCTCAAACACTAACAAACACTCAGGACTTTTCTCTGTCTATATCTGGGAACCTAGACGGTCATATGATCGCCTAGCTGGGAACCCATTCCCACTTGGTTGAAGTGAGGTAAATTCATGCAAAGTGCCTTTCCCAGGGCACAACGTCGGGCCCGTGACAGGATTCGAACCCACGACCTTACGATCCACGAGTACATCATGTAGGCTACCGTCTCTCTCTCCCCCTCCCCCCCTCTCTCTGTCTGTCTGTCTGTCTGTCTGTCTGTCTGTCTGTCTGTCTGTCTGTC